TTGTGAAATTTTATCAGCCTGCACAGTATGACTTCATCTTTCCTTTATGCACGTTTTTTAACACAAAAGAAGTTTGTTAGAAAGAAATGGGTTCCTTACCTGAGGTCATAAAATATTCTTCTATGTTTTTTTTAGACGTGGTTTAAAATTTTGCTATTTGATGGAGCCCTGATGTGACCTGGAGCCGTGCGCGGCGTAGGTGGGGATCTTTTTCCTTCGCCATATGGATCGCCATTGTCTCCACGGTTTATAACGCCTCCTTCTCCTGCGGGTTGGCGCGCTCTGACGGCGAAGTACTCGTCTGCGCATTGCTCTGTTCGGGCTCGTCGTTTCTTTCTTTTAGCCTGATTGCCAAAGAATTCTGTGTTTTTTGTTTGTTTGCTTTGTTTTGTTTTTGAGCAGAGTCTCACTTTGTGCCCAGGCTTTGAGTGAGTGCGGTGGTGTCAGCCTAAGTCACAGCACCTCCAACTCCTGGCTAAGGACACCTGCCTCAGCCTCCGAGTAGCTGGGATACAAGGCATGCGCCCCATGCCGGTAATTTTTTTCTCTATATATAGTGGCCAATTAACTTCTTTCTATTTATAGGTAGAGATGGGTCTCGTCTTGCTCAGGGGCTGCGTTTCGAACTCCTGACCTCGAGCAATCCGCCTGCTCGGCTCAGAGAGCTAGGACGATTCAAGGCGTGACCACTGCGCCCGGCAATTCTGTTTCATTTCTTAAAAACTTTTAATGTCTATTAGTACCCACTGGGGCTGTTAAGAGGAGGACTGGTTGGATGGAGCTGGGCGAGCCCTGTGATGGGGAGAATGGGTGGCTGAAGGGCAGGCGTGCAGGCTGGCCGCGCGAGAGCAGGCGGAAAGCGAGGCCCCGGGGAGGCGGGTGGGGCTGCAGGCAACGGGGCTAGCGGAGGGTCTGACGGACGTGGAGCAAACAATGGCTCCTGCCAACGTGGCTGCGGGGGTGCAGGGCATGCTGCGACGGGCAGGCCCGACATGTGTGCGGCCCAGTGCCGGCTGGGGCCGAAGGTCTGATGAATGGAGGTGAGTGGTGAGCGCCACGCCTGCGGCCTTACGTCCGGGTGCTCGGGAGGATAAGCAAGCCCTCTTGTTTTTGCACAGTCTGTTGTTCAGTGGGTCTATGTATGTCCCCGCTGGATGTCATTGCTAGGGGCATCTTTTCTTTTGTGTTGGCAGTACTGTTCACCCCAGCCAGGTGCATCAACTGGGCCCCCAGGTCCTTTTTTTTTTTTGAGTCAGAGCTTCACTCTGGTTGGCCGGGCTAGAGTGCCGTGGTGTCAGCTCGCTACGCACCTCACTCCTGGGTAAGCATCTCTGCTAGCTTCCGAGTAGCTGGAGATACAGGCATGAGCCACCAGCTGGCTAATTTTTTCTATTATTTTTAGTTGGCAATAATTTCTTTCTTTTATAGGTAGGACGGGGTCTCGCTCTTGCTCAGGGTGGTTTCGAACTCATGACCTTGAGTAATCATCACTTGGCCTCCCAGGGGTGCTAAGTTACAGGCGTGAGCCACATGTTGCTGTGGCCCCCATCGTGGTCCCGGCCACAGGCTCATGAAAGGCTAGTCCCAGCGTCCAGAGAGGTGGGCCAGGCCCTGGGGAGGTCTGGCTCTGTCACCGTTGATGGGCTCAGTTAAGGAGTGGGCTGGGTGAAGCGCCAGGGCATCACCAGGGGGAAGAGGGAGGCCCGCTGGGCGGAGCACGCTCACAGCCGCGCGGTGGGTCTGCAGACTGGATCGAGCTGTGTTCAAGCCCGCCTCGGCTCACTGTCTCGCTGTTAGGGACCCTTGGTCCATAAGCGTGCGGCTGCGTGCCATTGCTCTGAGCAAGCCCTCAGCGTTGGGCGTTTTTGGCCAGGCCAGGGCGGGGCTCTCTGGTAGGGTTCGGATGTTTACCTGGTGGGCAGCCCAGAGTGGCCAGGCAGGCGGCTCAGGCCTGGAGGGGACGGTTTTCCATTAATCACTGGTCGGAACTATTTTTAAGCCCTTCTGTGTGTGACAGCACACCCGGCGCCCCGGGATGGCTGAGGGAAGACAGTGAAGGGGAGGACGTGGGGTCTCAGACCCCACATAACGGGAGCGTGTGCAGAGGGGACAGTAGGGGGGATGAGGGGCGTGCCTGGCGCTGGCGGGCATCCCCCCTGGGTCCCTGGCTAAGCTCTAGCCTGCCTCCTTGGCCAGAGTGTCCTTCGGCCGGGCCAGCAGTCTGGCTGCAGGAAGGTGGGCAGGAGGAGGGGTGGAAGAAACGTTTTTATTTTTTTTTCTTAGTCCCAGGTCATGCCAGCCTGGGTTAGCCTGTTCTTAGGGCTTCAGGCCGGTCCAACCGTTCTGGCCATGCCGGCCGTGAACGTTGGGTTAGTGACATCACATTCATTAAATGTTATTCCTCTTCTGGCCTCATCTTCTGTCTGGCCTTACGGTGGCCTGTCATGGGGGCGAAAAAACGATGCAAACAAAACAGGCAGTAACCAGTGGCGCTAGTTCTCGTGGATAAGCGACGCGTTAGGCGTCAGCCGTTCTGTTCTGGGCACTGTGGCTAGATGTATTCTTCTTCCCAGGTTGAGTTTCCTCCAGCAACTTCATTTAATCCACCCGGCAACTTTGCGTGATTTCTCTTTTTAGTCACATTTCATAGCAGGAATTGGTTATACTTAAAGTACTTAACCGGAGCGCAGACGTTAAGTTTGCGGGGCCACGGTAAACAGTACCGGTGGAACCAGAATTCCGATCAGGGCATATAATATTATGTTTCATTAACTTAATCGGCAGGTTGGATTAAAATTGGTGGTTTCTCAGTGTGAATCCCCACACTCTCGCCTTTGGTCCATTAAAAAAAAATTGTTTCAGGCGGGGCGCTGTGGTACGCTGTAATGCTAGCTTTGGGAGGCCGAGGCGGGCGTTGCTAAGGTCAGGAGTTCAAACAGATTGAGAAGAGCGGAGACCCGTCTTACTATTATAGAAAGAAGTTATTGGCCAAACTGTATATATTATAAAAAATTAGCCGGCATGGTGGCGCATGCTGTAGGCAGTACCTGGAGGCTGAGGCAGAAGGATCGCTGAGCGGAGTTTCGGAGGTTGCTGTGGCTAGGCTGACCCACGGCACTCACTTAGCCTGACACCAAGCGAGATCTCTGTTCTAAAAAAAAAAAAAAAAAAAATGTTTCATAGTCAGATGCACGGAAAAACTGGAACATTGCATTTCCTTCTGGAGAGTCTAGGGTACTTTATTATATTAAAGACTCTCAGGAGCCCTGTGTTTAAAAGGAAAAGCAAAGCCCACCTGTTTGTGTTCAACGCCACTTTTCCCAAGCTGCGCCTAGCTCTGAGGAGCCCAAGGTGGAGCGGGAAACGCGCAGGTCAGGAGGGCTGGCCCGCCCGCTCCGGTCTTTATTGTCTGGGGGCCCCATGCACCACCTGGGTTTTAGGACCCTGTATTGTTCCTTTGTTTCATTCATTTCATCTTCATTCATTCTCTTCTCATTCTTTCTTTCAAACAAATGTCCCTCAATCTCTCTACAAGCACAGTGGAGAGGAGGGTAAGACACAGCTTCTATTTTAGAATCTCATAGGAACGCGCATGTGTATTCACCGTCAATGGTATTAAGTGATCAAGACTTAGTGCATATTAGTAATAACATTCATTGGGTGTCGGGCAGGTGGGAGGGGAGGAGGGGATGGGCATATACACACATAATGGGTGCGGGGCACACCGTCTGGGAGATGGGACACTTGCAGCTCTGATCGGGTGGGGCAAGGGCAATATACCTAACCTAAACATTTGGCCCCTGTAATTGTGAAATAAAAAAAAGGTAGGAGTGACAATATATAGTTACTTGTACCCCAAATTTAATTATTTGGGAGAGAAATGGGGAAAATATAGAAAAATCTAAGATGAAAACAACATGCCGGGCACGTGGCTCAGGCTGTAATCCTAGCACTATGGGAGGAGAGCAGCAGATTGCTCAAGAGTCAGGAGTTCGAAACCAGCCCGAGCAAGAGTGAACCCCGTCTTACTATAAATAGAAAGAAATTAATTGGCCACTTAATATATAGAGAAAAAATTAGCCAGGCATAGTGGCAAATGCCTATAGTCCCAGCTACTCGGGAGGCTGAGGCAGGAGGATTTGCTGGCCAGGGTGTGAGGTTGCTGTGAGCTAGGCTGACGCCACAGCACTCACTCTAGCCTGGGCAACAGAGTGAGATCTGTCTCAAAAAAAAAAAAAATAAAAAACAAAAAGAAAATGAAAACAACAAACAGCCATGTTTTATAAACATGAAGGCATATTTTCCCAGCCTTTTCTCTTATCATAAAAATGTGTCAAATGATATAGGAATGCATTCTCTTTTAGTAAATAAAATAAATTAGAATGGCAAAAAATAAAAAGAGGAGTCTGGCCGGGCGCGGTGGCTCACGCCTGTAATCCTAGCTCTCTGGGCGAGCCGAGGGCGGCGGATTGCTCGAGGTCAGGAGTTCGAACCAGACTGAGCAAGAGCGAGACCCCGTCTCTACTCTAAATTAGAAGAAATTAATTGGCCAACTAATATATATAGAAAAATTAGCCAGGCATGGTGGCTGTGCTGTAGGTCAGCTACTCGGGAGCTGAGGCAGGAGGATCACTTGAGCCCAGGAGATTGGGTTGCTGGTAGCGGTAGGCTGACGCCACGGCACCACTCTAGCCTGGGCCAACAAAGTGAGACTCTGTCTCAAAAAAAAAAAAAAAAAAAAAAAAAAGGAGTCTCAGAGATCTGAGCAGGGAGACAGAACAGTGTGATCAGGAGTTCAAGGGGCCAGGGAGCCCAGTGGACGGCACCAAACCCAATCTGGGAGTCAGGGAGGCCTGCCTAGGGGAGGTGAGGGCTAAGTTGCTCAGGTGAGGGGCTTTGGCTGGTCAGGATTACAGGAAAATATTCGCATGTCTGTGGGAAACCATGCATTAGCTAGACTCTAGGACAGCCCTTGGATTTTCCGATTCCATTCTATGAAGGCTACGTCCAACTCCGTGGCTGCAGGTGACTGGCAGCCTGGTGACTGAAAGCCACTCCTGCCTGCAGACCTGTCGGTGCGAACCCCCCGTGGACGACCGCTGACCGCCCTCCCAGCCTCGCCTCCGTTCACTCACCCATTCCCACACCCCTGACCGGTGAGTGCGTCTGCTCTTCGGGTTTCCCCTGAACCAGTCGTAGCATTTACCTGTTTCTCCTAAATTGATTTAAGAGTAGAATAAAATCTTTAGCACATTCTTTTAAAAAAAATCTATGAATGACAGTCATGATTTTTAAAGAAATAAACCAAATAGAAGACAGTCATGATTTTGCCTCTGTTTTTTTTTTTTGAGACAGAGTCTCACTCTGTTGCCCGGGCTAGAGTGCCGTGGCGTCAGCCTAGCTCACAGCAACCTCCAACTCCTGGGCCCAAGCGATCCTCCTGCCTCAGCCTCCCGAGTAGCTGGGACTACAGGCACGTGCCACCATGCCTGGCTTATATTTTCTATGTATATTTTTAGTTGTCCAGCTAATTTCTATTTTTCTAATTTTCTAAATTTCTAATTTTCTATTTTTTTTTTTTTAGTAGCGACGGGGTCTCCCTCTTGCTCAGGCTGGTCTCAAACTCCTGAGCTCAAAGGATCCTCCCGCCTCGGCCTCCCAGAGCGCTAGGATTACAGGCGTGAGCCACCGCACCTGGCTGATTTTGCCTCTTTCTGAAAAGTATTTTTTAAAAGAATGGCAGTGAGAGACTCACCAGGCGGAAGGCATGCGCGTTCCCAGCGTGGCCGCAGAGCGACAAGTAGCCGGACGCGGATCCCTAGGGGAGTGGACCCCTGTGAGCTGCTGAGAGGGGCGGACTCCTGAGCCCCCACCCAGGAAGCGCGGAGGCAGCTGGAGGATATTGAAGAACTGCTCAGAATCGATGGCCGGGTGTCGGCACAACTGGGGATTTCATGGCGAGGTATCACCTTCCGGCTGGTATGTTTGCAGAGGAGCTAAATGCTTTCTGACCGTGCGATCGACGTGGTCCCTCCCCACCCGTTAGGGGGCCCGCCGTGGGGCAGGGGCCACCTTTTTGATGAGTTAACCCCACTCACAGACACAGGTACAGCTCGCCAAGAACAGAGTGGCGCGAATTCACGGGCCAGTTGTGTTCCAAATGTGCTTATTAGAATTGCTAGTCCTAGGCACAAGAACACTTAAATCAATTAGCTAAAGGATTCCTGAAATGCTTAAAAAAAAAAAAAAAAAAAAGCAACAGCAACAGGACTCTCCATCTAACAGGGACCGGTGCGGCACGGGAAGGACCTGGCTTTGGGTGCTTGCAACCAGCTGAGGGTGGCGTGGCCTGGGCCGGCCTCGCACTCTGGCGGGATCTCACTTCTCTTCCTCTTCCTTTTTGTCTTTGCTGCTTGGGGCTCCAGCAGAGGATAACGGGAACACCCCCCCCCCGTTTTTTTTTTTTTTGAGACAGAGTCTCGATTTGTTTGCCCAGGCTAGAGTGAGTGCCATGGCGTCAGCCAGCTCAACAACTCCCAGCTCCTGGGCTCAAACAATCCTGCTGCCTCAGCTCGGGGTGCTGGGACTACAGGCATGCGCCACCATGCCCGGCTGATTTTTTCTATGTATATTAGTTGGCCAATTAATTTCTTTCTATTTATAGTAGAGACGGGGGTCTCCCTCTTGCTCAGGCTGGTTTTGAACTCCTGACCTTGAGCAACCCAGAGTGCTAGGATTACAGGCGTGAGCCACCTCGCTGGCCGAAACCCCCTTTCTTGTCCTCTCCGGGCACAGGCCCTGCTTGGGCGTCCCTCAGCCAGGCACCACTTTGTCCCTTGAGGTGGCGGCTCCCCGAGGGTGTGGTGCCGCCAGGGGTGTTGATGGGTGCTCAGCTCTGGGCACGTGTGATGTGCCGGGCGCTGGGGACACGGCGGTGACCCAGACGCACTCTGTTCTCATGGAGCTCCCGGGTGGTTGGGGGAGTCAGGGCTGGGACGAGGCGCCCAAGGGGAAGCCCCAGGGGACGTCCCTGCAACTGAGGGGCCAGAAAGGGGAAGAAGGCGGCCATCCCATGCCAGCACATGCTCCAGAGGATGCCTGGGAGGCAGGGGAAGGCGGGCAGAGGGGCACACGAGAGAACTGGACCCATTTCCCCAGGACCGGGGGTGAGCGGGCTGTCCCTGAACACCAGGCCTCCTGCGGGGCAGGGTGGGGGCTCGTACCCAGCTTCTGCCCTGGCCCGGGGCCCAGCAGGGACCCCTCTGCTCCCCCAGCTCTGCTTCCTCTTTGACTTGCACAACTACATGCCTGTAGTCCCAGCTACTCGGGAGGCTGAGGCAGGAGGATGGCCTGAGCTCAGGAGTTTGAGGTTGCTGTGAGCCAGGCTGACGCCACGGCACTCACTCTAGCCTGGGCAACAAAGCGAGACTCTGTCTCAAAAAAACCCAAAAAAAACAAGAAAGCTCACTGGCGGCTCCTGGGCAGTCTTCACGAGAGTCAGCTCCCGGGGACCTGCTGGCTCTGCTGTGAGCTTGGGTGAGTCCCAGGTGAGGAGCCCTCTTCGAAACAGCCCCTCCTGGCTTAAGGCCCGGAGTCCTGTCCGTGGAGCCTGGTCCCCAGGGAGTTTCTCCTGCACACACCCACGTGCGCGGGGATGGAGGCAGGGTGGCCACCACGGCACTGCTTGTCTTAGCAAAGGACTAGACATAACCTGAGTGTCCAACGGAGGGGACTGGTAATTCTGCATGTCCGTTCAGTAGCATGCTGGGAGCTCTTAAAAAGAATGAGACTCGCTGGAGTGTGCTCGCATGTGGGGGGACAGCTCCTGAGCCCCACGTGGGCGCTTGGCCTATTTTGTGCCCTTAGAAGCTGCCACAGGCCTCAGAGATCAGCCGCCTGCTCTGCGCAGCCGCAGTCCTCGCCAGGTGACGGGCAGAGGAGTAAGATGGAGGATGGAAAGTTCCAGGGCCCCAGGGGTCTGCCAGTCCCAACCGTGTGGCCTTCAGTGACCCACTCTGCACTCTTTGCCTCCCCTATAAGACGGGGACAATCTACCTGCCTTGCAGGTGCGATGGGCGCCTGGCATGCAGCGCAGGTGTGCGGTGCAGGTGAGCGCGACCGAAACTCTCCCCAGTGCGGCCTGCAGGGCGGGGTCCAGGGAGACGTCCCCATCCCTCTGCAGGGAGGAGCAGGGGCTCCGTGCTCGGGCCCCGCCTGTCACCTGCTCTGTGTGTCGGGACGCTCAGCCGCCCTCGCAGCCAGCGGGCGGGGAGGGGAAGAGTTCCCGCCACTGTCTCCTGAGATGGGACATACAGGAGACACACGGGCCTTGCCCGACGCTACAGCGGCAGCCTGCTGTGCCTGGTGTTCGGAAGGTGCGGTGTGGGGTGTTCAGAGGGTGGGGTGTGGGGGAGTGTGGGGTGTTCAGAGGGTGGGGTGTGGGGGAGTGTGGGGCTGCTGGAGACGCTGTGGGTGACGTTTCCCACATATTTGCAGGCACGTGGGGGACCGGGCTGGAAGAGATGGCGCCTGGGGAGGGCGTCCCTCTGGACCTTGAGGCTGGGGTCCAGCACTGTCCAGAATCTTCCGTGGTGTCCGGCTTGCCCTGTGACCCCCAAACCCCCAGCTGGCTGCACAGGGGCACCATCCCAGGCGCCTCTATTTCCCTTTCTTCCCTTATGGACTTGATTTCCCCTTTTGCGTCTCTCCTCCTCCTCCAAGCCCTTTCTCGCCATTCTTCCCAACAAAGCTCACGCTAAAAATAGCTAACGTTTCACACGTCATCTGCGTGAGTCCCGTCACGGAGCTCACCGTGTCCCTGCCGTGCAGACGAAGGACACGGAGTCACGTAGGGCAAGGGGCTCGGCTGAGGCCACCCAGCGTGAGCGCCCAGGAGGCCGGGCGGGCTTAGGGAGGAGTGAAGGGACAGCCAGGCGGCGGGGCCCACAGGGCGGCGGGGCCCACAGGGCGGTGGGGGCCCACAGGGCGGCGGGGGCCCACAGGGCGGCGGGGGCCTGCCGTGGGGGCAGGGATGTCGGGGAAGCTTCTGGCTCAGGGAACTTGGGGGCGAGGAAGGAGGGTGGGAAGGGGACTCTGGGGGGAGAGGAAGGCAGGTGCAGAGGCCAGGCCAGGAGGGGCGGGAAGGGCGCTTGGGCCGGTGTGGCGGGGTGAGGCTGTGGCGGGCAGGGCAGGCGTCGGCCGCTCGGGCGGTGGCTGGGTGATGAGGGTGATGAAAGCAGGTGGGCCTCAGGGAGCCCGAGTGCCAGCTAGCATGGCACCTGCCTCAGGGGTCAGGATCCCAAGACTGGGCCGGGCAGCTCTGGGACGCGGGGCTCAGGTGACAAGCTCTGTGGCTCTTCCTCCCAACAGGGGCTGAACACCCTGGGGACCAGCAGTCAGCTTCCCTTTTCCAGCCCTCCCAGCACTCGGCTGCTCAGACAGGGAATCTCGTCTCTAGCTGGGGCCTCCGGAACTCCGGGTCCTCCAGCCGTCTTCCTGAAAACCGCATGTATATGCAAGTGTCAGTGACTCACGCAGCTTAAATGCAGCTTCGCCACTCCCTCTCCGGCTGCCAGGAGAATCTTCCGAGGGGTTTGTGTGTGAAGGTGATGACCATTGTTTTTTTAAGAATGATACAATGCTCATGCTCAAACGAAACAACAAGCAATATGGCAAAGTACAAAGAAGGAAGTAACAAAAAGTAACAAGATTCCTCCCATCAGGCCAGCTTCATGACTGCAGAATTTTTTTTTTTTTTGGAGACACAGTCGCGCTCTGCTGCCCAGGCTGGAGTGCAGTGGTGCGATCACAGCTCACTGCAGCCTCCAACTCCTCTGATCCTCCCCCCTCAGCCTCCCAAGCATCTGGGACTACAGGTGTGCACCACCACGCCTGGCTAATCTTTTAAATTTCTTTGTAGAGATGGGGCCTTGCTATGTTGCCCAGGCTAGTCTCACCTCAACCTCCCAAAGTGCCAGGATTACAGACGTGGGCCACCGTGCCTGGCCTAGGGCAGGATTCTAACTGCTCTGTTCTCTGCTGTATTCCTAGCACCTAGAACTTCCTGGCACATTTAATAAAGCCCACTCTCCGGTGTTAACATTTTGCAAATGTCCTACGTACACAAAGAAGTTTGGAGAGATAAAGAGGGTTAGGTGGTGTTGGGCTCAGAAAGCCATACCCCAGAGACTGGCGCTCAGATGTGCTGAGAGGCCTTAGAAGCTGCCTCAGAATCAGGGTCCTTTAGCTTTCTTTTTTTTGAGACAGATTCTCACTCTGTCACCTGAGCTAGTGTGCCGTGGTGTCAGCTCAGCTCACAGCAACCTCCAAACTCCCGTGGTTCAAGCGAATCCTCCTCCTCAGCCTCCGGAGTAGCTGGACTACAGGCATGCGCCACCATGCCCGGCTTTTTTTTTTTTTCTATTTTCAGTTGCCAGCTAATTTCTTTCTATTTTTAGTAGAGACGGGGTCTCGCTCTTCCTCAGGCTGGTTTCGAACTCCTGACCTCAAGGGATCCTCTCACCTTGGCCTCCCAGAGTGCCGAGGGACTACAGTGGGATTACAGGCATGAGCCACCCCACCCCGCCCCTTCAGCCTAGTCTTGTTCCCTCCCTGCCCCCAAGTAAAGGGAGGGACTGTCTCTGGAATTTCCTTATCTGACTAAGAAAGCTTCTTCGTGGGAAGGAAAAAAACCCCACACAATTACTTAAGATCCCCTCCCTAGGAATTCCACCAAATAACCAGGAAAGATCAACCACCCAGAAGAGAGTGAGTGTTGGCCCAGACAGACTTTCCATCTCTTCTTCTGAAGCTGCTCCAAGATTACCTGGGGGCCGTCAGCTGCTTAATAAGAGGAGCTTTGTTCCCCAGCCGTTCTGCCCCTCACCTTCCTGTCACTGGCCCAAGCTAGCCCCCACAGAGAACCCCGCTACCCACTGTGTGAGCACTGGGCCTGTCTGCCTCCTCCACCCCCGCTCCCCTCTGCCCAGTGAAGAGGGAAACAAACAGCCCCTCTGGGGGGTCATCTTTTGTATGACTCCCATGCACGAGTGCACATAATAAACCTGCCATGCTTTTCTCTTGTCAACCTGGTTTTTGTGATAGGGGCGAGGGGAGGAAAGGGATCACCCCATTTCTGCCCCTACAGTTCAGAAAAGGGAAATAGGCCCAAATAATTTTACATTGCCCAGGCTGGTCTCGAACATGTGGCTTCAAGCAATCATCCCGCCTCAACCTCTAAAAGCAGTGGGATTACTGGCCAGAGCCATCCTTCCTGGCCCCAAATAACTTTAAAAGATGGGAATGTACCATATGTGTTCTATTTCAAACTAAAAGTATTTAATTTTACTTGAGTTTAATAGAAAAAAAAGACAGAAAAATGGCTGAATCTTAGATAAATATTTATTTTCCACAGGAGATATTAGTTCATAAATGGATTTCTCTAAGCTTCAAGAAAGAGAGAGGATAACGAGGGCGCGCGGGCTCATGCCTGTAACCTAGCACTCTGGGAGCCAAGGCGGGGGAGAGATTGGTCCGAAGTCAAGAGCAAACCAGGCCTGAGCAAGTACGAGACCCCGTCTCTACTATTAAAAAGAAAGGAAATTAATGCACAATATAGATAGAAAAAATTAGCCAGGCCAATGGTGGCGCATGCCTGTAGTCCCAGGCTACTCGGAGGCGAGGCAGGAGGATCACTTGAGCCAGGAGTTGAGGTTGCTGTGAGCTAGGGTGACACCACGGCACTCACTCTAGCCTGGGCAACAAAGCGAGACTCTGTTGCTTGTGCCAAAAGAGAAAGAGAAGAAAAAAAAAGATAATAAAGTTCATTAAAAGACTGGAGTCTTAGGGGAAAAAACAAATGTTTCCCTCACAGCAGGATCAGATCCACTCTCGCTGTGGAAGTGATGCAACCTCCCCTCACCCACCCAGCTCCTGATTTGTATTTTTTTTTTTTTTTTTGTGAGACAGTTCTTACTCTGTGTGTCCCAGGCTAGGAGTGAGTGTCAGTGGTGGTCAGCCGTAGCTCACAGCACCTCCAAACTCCTGGGCCTCAGCCGATCCTCCCTGCTGCTCAGCCTCCCGAGTAGCTGGACTACAGGCATGCGCCACCGATGCCTGGCTAATTTTGTTTTTCTATATATATATCAGTCTGGCCAAGTTAAAATTTCTTGTCTATTTATTAGTAGAGAGGGTCTCGCTCTTAGCTCAGGCTAGGTTTTGAACTCCTGACCCTGAGCAATGCCGCCCGCCTCGGCCTCCCAAGAGCTAGCATTACAGGCGTGAGCCACCGCGCCCGGCCTGATTTGGATGTTAATATTTTTACTTTGTCAAGGTTTCTAACACTTATACTCTGTTTTGCAACCGTCCTTCTCCCAGTATTTAGTCTTAGTCCTGTTTTTTAATAGATTCTGTTCTTTTTTTTTTTTTTTTCCATTCTGGTTTTTAACCACATTTTGTCCCTGAGTTTTCCGTTTTGAGTCATCTAATGATTGTATCAGAAAAATCTGGGAAACACTTTGAAATGGACCCCCCTCCAAAATGTTACCGGAGCGTCCTGTGGCACATGGAGCTGGCTCATCTGATTCTGTAGGGTGCCCGCGTCTTCCACCGTCTCTCAGCACATCTAAGCTGCAGAAAACACAGCAATGCAGACGACGCGTGTCCACAGGAAGGCTGAAGACTTGTGTCCACGGGGCGCAATTGATTTTTGCCCTGTGGTTATTGATCAGTTTTGTGAGTCTGTGTGATTCCATCTCAGCGTTCCTTGTTTGCCTATATAGTGTCTGTGTGTGTTGTTCCAATTTCCCTTTGAGTTATTGTAACATATTGCTTATTCCCTAACTATTTAATGAGTTAAATAAAATTTCTGATGCATGTTCATTTTATATTTCTATGAGAGTAGCGATTTTGCCTTTTAAAAAAGTGTACCCTTTTAAATGCTTACCTGGATTTCACTGCCGAACAGTTTTGGCCTTTTTCCCATAAAGGGCTCATGGGTGCTATTTTCTCTGACCTCTTCCATGTTCTCTGTAAATGTGAACAGCTTCAATGGGCGTAATACTCTTGGATTTCCCTTTTCCATACAACGTTGAAGACTCAGTTGTCTTGTCTTCTGGCATTGAATGTTGCTGAGGAAAAATCTCAGGCCAGATCGATTTTTTCCTCCCCTTGTTGGTGACATGATTCTCTCTCCTCTGTGCCTGGAGGGTTTTTTTCTTTATCCTCAAAGTTCAGCAGCTTAGCCGGCATGTTCTGAGGTCCATCATGCTGAACCCGTGTCCCTGGTATGTATTTATGTCCCTTCCGTCCGCAGAGTTGGTTCTTTGTTTTTGGCTGTTGGATAACCGACTTCAGGGAATCCAGTCCAGCAGATTTAATTTATTTGTCCTTTTTCTCTGAATTCATTATGATTATTTCAAGTTTCTGTCCCACGCTGTTCACTTGCCTCTCAGGCGTGTCCTGTGTGGGAAGTGAGTTTTCAGACGTGTGACGGTGCTGATTTGGGCTTCAGCGTGCTTCCTCCCCTCTGCAAACTTGCTCTGCCTTCCTGTCATCGTGTGTCATCTCTCCTTTGTGCTCTTCACGTCCAGTTCATATTCCCTTCTCTCGAGCACGAAGCTGCTAGCTCAAGAAAGCGGCCCTTGGTCCTCGGGCCCTGCCCCCCTCCCCTGGCGCCCTCACGTGACTTCCTTCCCTTTCCCGGCCGTGGCAAGCTCCTTTCAGCTCGCTCTGTCCCTAACTCGAGCGGCTTCTCCAGACGCTCCGCCCGTTCTGTACAGGAGCCAGCTGCCTTCCCCTCCGAAGGACAGCTTTGCGGGCTGTGTCCTTTCCAGTCGGCTTTTCGCAGCCCGAGTGTACAGAGGTGGGTGGGAAGAGCCACGACGGAGGCCACCCTTGCTGGGGACCTTCTCTTTCTTTCGATCCCTTAAACGCCCTGTCACCCAGCCCGTCTGCCCGGCCAGCACTGTGCCCTTCCCCTCCACCCCAGCAGCTGGACTCGGGCGGCCCTGGCGGCCATTTCCCTGGAGGTTGCCTGGCTTCTTGGTTTGTCGGCTCATTCTTTTTACTGACAGTTTGCCATTGTTGCTAGGCATGGTGGCTCACACCTGGGATCCCAGCACTTTGGGGGATCGAGATGGGAGGATCACTTGAGGCCAGGAGTTTGAGACCAGCCTGGGCAACATAGCAAGACCCTGTCTCTAAAAAAAATTTAAAAATTAGCTGGGCCTGGTGGTGTGCACCCAGCTACACGGGAGGCTGAGGTTGGAGGATGGTGTAAGTCCAGGAATTTGAGGTTACAGTTGTAAGGCTGGTGGCAGGGGCCCCCTCCCCTCCCTAGATGGAAAAAGAAAACGCTTAGTGACCTGACCTGCCAAGGACAAACTGCCAGGCCCCACTGAGAGGAACCACACCCAGATCTCCACCTGGATTCCCTCCTGGATTCCACAAATACCTCCAGCCCCTCCTATTTCTCAACGACCTTCCAAGGTCACAATAGAGAATCCCAGCTCTTCCCGCCACAAGTCCCTAGCCCCGCCCAAAGGGTATAAAAGGCCTCAGCCCCTTCAAACTGCAGCGACTTCCGGGGCCCCCGCTCTTGGGGCCCCAGAACCTCGTCCACGAGTGTATAATAAAGCCATGTGGTTTGGCCCCAACTCTCTCCCTCTCTGTCTGTCTTTTCTTCCCACCGCCGCCAAAAAACCTTACAACAGTGAGCTATGATCACACCACTGCACTCCAGCCTGGGCAACACAGCAAGACCCTATCTCTAAAAAGACAAAACAATTGTCATTACTCATTTTGTCAGGTACTAGGGTGGGGAAAGTCTGTGCTCTCCCCTTGTCCTTCCTAAAGTCTGGACTCCGCTCCTCAGCAGTCTCTGCAAAATGCAAATCCCCCCCAGCCTGCCTACCCCGGAGTGGTATTCTGTGGGCCTGGGCGGGACTGCTCCCTGCCCACCCTGTGCAGGCCTGGGGCTGAGAACTGCTGAGTCAATTTGCGTTTTAGTCAAATTAAAGGAATGCAGCTCTGCCTAATGTAAATCCACGTGCACGTGGCGTGTTGGCGTTGAACATGGAACAGCCTCCATTCTATTGGTGAGGCCTCTGAGGCCCAGAGAGGGGAAGTGACTTGCCCAAGGTCACACAGCAAGTCAGCAACAGGCAGGTCTGAAGCATTGGAAGTGCTGGCTCCAGACCCGGCATGTGGGATCAGCGTGGCCCGCGCCGTCCATGGTGTGAGGAGCCCCGTTCCCACTTCCTGGGAAGCAAAGGTTGTGGCCTTCCCCCGGGGAACTCTGGTCACGAGCTTCACTGAGGGTGGGTGGCCAGACCACGAGGCCCGCTGCCAATCCCAGCCTGCCCGGGAGCAGTGACCCTTCCCCTCATCGCGGGCCCCAAGCCAGGCACCCTCCCCCCGGCGGCAGGGCCTGCGGGAGCTGGGGCCGCGCGGCTGGAAGCAGCTTGAGGAAAGCTGGGAACCTGGGCCTGGGCCGGAAAGGGGCCCGGGCCAGTCCCAGAGCAGTTGGGGCCATGGCCGGGCTGCAGAGCCTCACCCCTGACCGGGATCCTGGGCCGACCCTCAGGGACGGCTGGGCCGAGGCGTCCTGCTCCAGGCCCCCCGGGCATGGTCAGCCCCTGGCTCTGCTCTCCTGCCCCACCGTGGCGTGGCGACGCGTGGTGAGGCATGGCGTGGCATGGCGGGGCCAGCCTGGCGACCCCGCAGCCCGAGTGGAGTCAAGGGTCCGCCCCTTCCTTCCCGGCTTCCTGGCCCTGCGGTTCAGCTGCCTCTGCCGTAAAGGGGGAATGGCAGGACCCTCGCCACACGCTGTCTGTCGCGAGGACGGACTCGTATCAGAGCTGGGGACGGGCCCGGCACACTGAGCCCAAAATAGATCCGTCCCACAAGGCAACAGGCATTTTACTGGGGTTCCTGGGGAGGAGATGGGGAAAAGGACTCTCACTGTTTACCGCAAAGCTGCGCCGTAGTTTCTCTCTGCCTCGGAGCAGCGTCCCCTCAGCGTCCTGCTCTCGGGAGGCCGGCGTGTCCCCGGGAGTGGCCGCACGTCAGGGCACCTGCCGAGGCCCGCTTCCGCTGCTCCGAGGCAGGGCCTCATGAGTTTCAGGTGGGGCTGGCCCCTTTGACAGTGTGAGGAAAGTCATGGCTCCCTCCCAGAAGTCTGCAGAGACACACAGAATAGTATCGTATATGCAGTTGAGGGGTTCAGAGCCCCTCTCACGTCCATCCCTGGACCTTCCAGGGGTTCCTAGAGTCTGGCCTAAGACCTCACATGTTACGGGGTGCTGGGTGCTGTCTACCTGTTCTGCCAAACTCTAGAGCTCCAGGACCTGGGTGCTTATTACGGCTGGGTAGCTGGGTGTGGCCATGCCTGAAGGAGGCTTCTTTTTTTGAGGCAGCGATTTCATAAAAGGATTATACAGAGAATGGTTGAGCCCACTGAGTGAAAACTATGTCCAGTTTATTCATCAGTCAACTTCTGTACAAATATGAACAACAAACACATGTATACAGGGCAGGTCTATACGCTGTGCTGCAAGAACAATAGCTGATGTTCAGTGAGTGCCAGGCGCTGCGGTACGTGCTAAGCCCACATTATCTTATTCGTGCTCGGAACAGTCCATCCTACATCGTTATGCTGCTTCGGTCTCTCAGAGGCACCGAGAAGTAAAGTAACTTACTCAAGGTCACACAGTAAGTGTTAAAGTTGGCCTTTGACCCCAGGCAATCTGACTCCACTGCCATTTGATAGTCTTTTCCTCCGGAATTGGTGGGTGAGGCTGGCCCCATCCTCTTCTGAGACTCCCAGCTCAGGCAGGTGGATCCTGCTGGCGCCTAGGCAAAGAGCCAGCCTCAAGCAAACACTGCAGTCGTGTTTTTCTAGAAAGCCTCTGTCACATATTGGCACCTAAGGCCCCTGTCTTGGAGTTCTCAACAAACTGTGTCACGAAGTGGCATCTGCCCGGCCCGCAGGGAGAAGCTTTGCTCTCAGGCCCATGTGGGAAGTGACATGACCTCATTCGGCCCTGCGGGCTGCAAGGCCAGGGAGAGGCCAGCTCACACTTGTCTCCACGGCGGTTAAGGAGGTATCCTTTGCCTGCAGCACCCTGCAAGGTGCCTGCTGGGAACGGCGTCCGTGCCTCTTGCTTCCTTGTCGCTGGGTCTCTCTTTGAGACGGACCTCGGTGCTGGAGAGGCTTGGAAGCCCGGCCTTCTCCTGAGCCGAGTCCCCTTCCTGGAAGCGGCTCCTTCTGGGCCAGGCCGTCCGCTGTTCCACCGGCCCAGTGCTGGATGCCCCCCCTCCCCAGTTCCCAGCCCAGCTTGTCCCGCACTGAGGGTGGAGGCAACTTGGACTCCGTGGAGCCCGACGCCCTCATTTTTGCAGGTGGAGGCTGAGGATGGAGGCGGGGAGAAGGCCTCACCCAGGCCGCGAAGCTAAAGGTCCCTGAAGCTGAGGGGTGACCCCTGCTTTCTTTTCCGCTGCATGAGGCCAGTGGTTCTCAAAGTGTGTCAGCACTGCCGGGAAGCCCGGTGGAAATGCGGACCCTCGGGCCTCGCCCCAGACTTGCTGAAGCAGAAACTGTTTTAACGAGGCGTCGGGGTGGCCGAGGCTAAAGCAAGTGCGAGAGCCACTGCCCTGGGCCCTGCTTCTCCGCCGAGACTGGGGCTGCACAGGCGGGACCCAAAGACAAAGTTTCAACTCCCAGCCCCTCCCTGCACCCCCACGCGAGGAAACCCCGGGCGCAGAGGGCAGGAGAGGGAGCTGGCGGCAGACACTGGTGAATGTAAAAATCTTAGCACATGATAATCGATGCAGCTCCAAATAAAAAAATGGGGCAATTGGCTATTTGAGAACAAAAAAGACACCAACTAGCCAAAAACATCAACACACACACACACACAAGAGATTAAGTGAGTACTGAGGCCGACTGGAGGGCAAGTGTCACGCGTGAAGCAGGCACAAGCGGTGGGGGAGGGACCTGCACCCCCCCCCCCCAGGGCCTGGCCTGGCCAGTCAGCCCGTCCCATCCTCCCATCTCACCTCCCACGAGGGTAGTCTGGGCAGACGCCTTTGCTGCTCCCTTCACGCCCCCAGCAATTGTTATTAGGTACCTGTTGTGTGCCCAGTCCCCAGGTCTGGAGACAAAGGTGCAGATCTAAGCTGAGGGTTGTGGAGGGAGTAGTGAGACCTGTGGGGTGGGGGTCCTTGCAGGGTGACAGGGGGCTCCCCAATAGTGTCCCCTCCCTGGGCGGGAGTTCCTGTTGTGCTGCCCCCATGGTCACGCAGGCAGGTGACCAAGTCCAGGGTGCTTATCCCTTCAAGGCAAGGAGGGTGGCCGGGCTGGCAAGGGTTGCTTTCTGCCAAGAAAGGGTCCCAGGCCAGTGGGCTCCACATCCCTTCTGCTCTTCCTAGAAGGTGAGGGGAGGACAGAGGAGGGCACAAGGTGGCCCCAGCAGGGATGGCCTGCCTGCGGCCTTGCTGGGTGTGGCTGGGCTGGCCCTGGGGGCACCCCCCCATCCTCCACCCCGCTCTGTGCCACTTCTCCCAGGGCGTTGCCCTCACTGCCTGTGACCTTGCCGAGGGCCAGAGCCGTGCCTGTGCTCTGGCCAACAAATGTTTGTGGAATATCTGGCCAAAAGGACGCCACAACAGCCCTGGAGGCAGGGATAGGCTGCGTGTTTATTGTGCAGATGAGACATTGGGGCCCTTTGGGCTGCAGCTTTCGAGGCCACTCAGAGCTGAGGAAGGAGCAGGGTTGTGCCCACTTGGAACCGGATTTCAGTTGGGTGCACAGGTCCCTGTCCTTGCGATGCACAGCCAGCTGTGCAGGCGTGTCTGCAGCGGGGCTCACCTCTTTCTGGTGCTATTAGCTTTGGCCGCTCACCACGGCACTGCAGATGTTGAGCTCATCTCTGAGGTTAGTGGGGTTACTGCCTCCCCTAGTCACGGCAGGCTCCAGGCCCTCAGCAGGGGAGCAGGCCCAAGGGCACTGGGTCTGACTGAGTGGCACCCTGGCCAGAGGTCTTGGTGTCTTTGATGTCCTTCCCTCCAGGCTAGGATTTCGGAGTCTGTTAATGGAGGCTCTTGAGGCCCTTCCTTTGGGTCAGGAGTTCCCAGGACGTCACCCTCACCCCCCCCCAACGGTCACTGCTCTGGGTCTGCCCCACTGAGGGGTCTTCCCTGTAGGAGGCGGAGACCGAGTGCTCTGCTCTGCCCCCAGCTGGGCAGAGGGCCAGGGCCTGACCTTCACGGGGCATCACGGCTTCTGGCAGGGACTAAGTAGATGGGGCCAGGACAGGCAGATGCCTGTGGCTTGTGCGTGTGGCAGGCCCTGTGGGTGGGACCCATGGCGACAGAGACTGCCTAGAGAGAACTCCCACATCCTGAGCAGCCGTGAGTCTAGTGGCCATCGGAGTGCTGTCCTGGCACCTTCCCAGTGGTCAGTGACTCCTCTGTGGGGTGGAGGAACCATGCAGCTGAGTTGTGATGACACAAAAACCTCATCCTTCACGCCTGGCCAGCTGCAGGGACCCAGCCTCAGGCCCTGCTCTGGGGATGCCTCTCCTGCCCAGGGGCTCTGTGGGCTCAAGTCCTGGTTGCTGTCCACCCTCTTGTCCTGTCCTCCTTCCTAGCAGTGCCCAGAGCAGGGCTCACAGCCCACTCCAACTGCTGTGGGTCGTGCTCTCTCCTTTCTGCCGCGAGGAACACAGGTCTGGCTGAGGAAAGGCTTTCTGGGGGTGGGAAGGACAAGAAAGTGAGGGCTTTTTGGAAAGCAGGAGCTTTCTGAAAGCCAAGCGTGCTTGTCTTCACAGATTTGGGGCTGCCCTACAGAAGTGGCTGCTCCAGTCCCCTGGGGATCTGCTCTAGCTGCCAGAGGCCCCTGCCACTGGGAGGACAGGACAAAAGGGTGGGCGAAGCTGGAACTTGAGTCCACAGAGCTCCTGGGAGGCAGAGGTGACAGCTGGTGCATCCCCGGCCGCTGCCGGCTCCTCCGCCCACGCACCTGCTCTGAGTCCGTGACTCGAGGAGCCTCCCAAGGACAGGGTGGGCCTCCGGGCCCTGAGTAGCTCTGGACTGCTGCAGGACGGGGAGACGAAGCAGTTTCTCAAGAGCAAGTGGGCCTGGACCACAGCTTCCACTTCCTTTTCTGGAGAAAAACCGCAGCTCAGCTGTGCTGATTGATAATTCTGCAGCCTCTGGCCCTGGAGCCTGCAGCAGGGGCTGGCAGTTCTGAGCCGGCCATAGCAGGCGGCCCCTGAAGCTTTGGATGGAAAAATGGGGTTAGGAGAGGAGGTTGGATTGTTCAGGGGAAGAGCTCAGATTCTTGCAAGCACAGACCCGGATTCCATATAATTTGTTGTCCAAACTGGAGCACTTTTGAGAATGAAATCGAGCTGTGTTAATTATGACACCAGGACAACAGATGTAAATGGGGACTCCTCAGGGCGAACTGAGATGCCCGTTAGCCTACTTCTTACCACCTCCTGGCTGTGTGGATTTGGGCAAGTTACATAACCTCTCTGAATTCTGGTTTCTGCATAAAAAAGGCTAATATCATGTGTCTGCCTCCCTGGGCTGTCGGAGGGGTTAAGTTGCGTGAGAGTTTCTGGAACAGCCTTTGGTAAAGAGTGGGCTCTCAATGCTTGTTCTCGTCTGTAAGGTAGTGAGTTCCCTGTCCCTTGAAGTGAGCACAGAGCCACCAGTCAACTCTCTGGAGTGCAAGAGCCTAGGGAAGGTGTGCATGCAGCTGGAGAGTCCGACTCCATCCTTCCGGTTCCCCCCGGAGGGGTAATGGTGAAGGTGGGAGTCAGGCCCTCCTGTACCTAGGGCAGGTGGGCCAGGGCTAGAACTCTCCGGTGGGCTTGTTTCTTCTCCTACCCCAGGTGGTGGTGATTTCTGTGCCCACAGAGGGCCCATATCAAGGCCCAGCCAGGAGCAGCTTCACTGTTACAGTTCCTGTCTTTTGCTGCCAGAGGCCCTGGCTTTGGTTCAGGGGAAGTTTGCTGGCTTCTGCGCTCCTGGGGTTGCCCCGTGTGGATGCAGCATATGCCCTGGAGCCTGAGCTGGAGGAAGGCAGTTGCTTGCCTTTGGTGTGCCTGCTCCTGGGTCCTGAGAAACTCAGCAGAGCTTCTCCCAACCTAGAATGTTTTCAAGGGCTGGGTGTAGAGCATCAGCCCAAGGCCTGGGGGATGCAGACTCCTGCAGAATGTGCTGGCGCCAGGTTCCTGACCGCCCTCCTCCGCTGCAACAACGTTCCTGGCAGGTAGTGCATCAGGAAGCACCAGTGGCCGCCAGCCGTGTCGCTGCAAGTGAAGCAGAACATGATCCGGTGCCTGGAGGTCAAGACGGAGAACCACACTGGCTGGCCATGCCCCACCTGACTGCTGAGCAGGGCTGCACCAAAGAGCGAAGCCTTCAAGGACATCAAGGCAGCCACCATTTCCAAGCCCCCCCCCATAGATTTGTTGTAGACCAGCTCAACCATCTCAATGTCACCAAGAAACGGTCCTAACTCTGAGCTGTCACCCCTCGATTGTATAGATTAACGGGGCTGCCCTGACCTTTACCTGCTCCTGGAACTGAAAAACTAACTCCTATAAAAACATGAGCCTTTGGACTAGTCTTATTAAAACCATCCAGCCAGGACCAACATTTCTTTTTTATTTCACAAAGCCCCAAAGTGCTCAATGGCAATTCATGTTCAACGACAAAGGAATCAAAATTCACTTAAAAAATTTGTGATAGTCTGCTGGGAGGGTAGCAAGAGGGTGCAGAAAGTGGGGCTGGTTAATGGGTGTAAAAACACAGAATGAACAATATTTGATAGCACAACAAAGTGACTATAATCACAACATAATAATGTAGGGTATGCTTTGAGATACTAAAAGAGTGGAATTGAATGTTCCCACACAGAGAAATGATAATGCCTGAGGTGTTGGGTACCCAATTATCCTGAACTGAAAATGAAAACATCACATGCCCATGTAAAGATATACAACTACAATGTATTACATATAATTTAAAACATTTGTGCTAGTTTTAACTTATCTAGAGACATCAGGTTTAGCTCATACCCTGTGCACATGGCCAGTGTCCCTGCTATTGATTGAGCAGTAAATCCAGACCAATTTAAAAGCATAAGTGCTACATAGTGTTAGGTAATTTTACTTATCATTTTATTTATTTTATATTTATTTTATTTTTGAGACAAAGTCTCACTCTGTTGCCCAGGCTAGAGTGCTGTTGTCAGCTTAGTCACAGCAACCTCAAACCCCTGGGCTCAAGCATCCTTCTGTCCAGTCCTCCTGAGTATCAGGGAGTCCATAACGGGACTACAGGCATGTGCCACCATACCTGGCTAATTTTTTTTTTTTTTTTTTGAGACAGAGTCTCGCTTGTTGCCCAGGCTAGAGTGAGTGCCGTGGCGTCAGCCTAGCCTCACAGCAACCTCAAACTCCTGGGCTCAAGCAATCCTTCTGCCTCAGCCTCCCGAGTACTGGGACTACAGCATGCGCCACCATGCCCGGCTAATTTTATATATATATATAAATATAATTTAGTCTTGTTGCAATTAATTTCTTTCTATTTAAGAGTAGACGGGGTCTGCTCTTGCTCAGGCTGGTTTCCGAACTCCTGACCTCGAGCAATCACGCCTCAGCCTCCCAGAGTTTACAGGCATGAGCCACTGCACCAGGCTTAATTTTTTTTTTTTTTTTTAGACAGAGTCTGATGCTGTTGCTCGGGCTAGAGTGCCATGGCTAATTTTTTCTATGTATTTTTAGTGCCAGTTAATTTCTTTCTATTTTTAGTGAGATAAG